AGGTCATTGGAATCACTTAATTGTGGCTGGTAAGGTGGTAATTTTTCTAACTCTGTCATTTCTTTCACATATATTGGCTAAAGTTTTCTATAAATAACTTTCCTTCATCAGCTAGGCTCTTGTTCACCTTATCCTTCATGTCTTTGCTCAAGAGTTACCTTATTATCCAGACCTTCCTTGACTGCCCTATATAAAACAGTACCCCACCGCCAACACCACATACACACTCCCCGTCTCCCCTTCTTCGTATTTCTCTTTAATACTTACCACTAATGTCATTCTATGTATCTTACTTAATTTTGTTTACCGTGTATCTTCCCTAAACTCTGAGGGCAGAAATTTTTATGTTTTGTTCATTTTTGTATCCCCAACACTAAGAACAATTCCACAGAGCAAATGCTTAATAAATATTTTTTCAATGTTATAATTGAATGAATGAGTGTTGAGGCTTAATTCTTATCAGTTCCAGGACAATTATATGAAGATACTGCCTTAAGTAGCATAAAATTAGAAGTAACAATCCCAATTCTATAATTGTATCTTTGAGATTCAAAACAAATTTAAATAAATCACATTTAAATTACTATACACATAAGTAATTTTTTTGCACAGAACATATTTAATTACATTTATTAAATACCTGTGAGGGTCTTTTCATATATATGATCTCTTCATCTTCACATTATTTCTGTATGTTAGGTCTTATTAACTCCATTTTATAGATGAGGAAACTGAAGCTCAGAGAGATAATTAAAGTCATTAATCAGTCTTGAGACTTCAACTCGAGTCTCCTTTTTTAGACTGTCTAGCTTTTTTATATTATACCTTTTTTTTGTTTTGCCAGCAAGACATAATCGACTTATATAACTGAGTTATACATTATGTTTAGCCATTTTATCTTACAAGGTATTCTTTTTGTTGTTTGTCTTATCGAGATAGAAATCAACCAGTGTGTGTCTCTTACTAGAGGAGGATGGTGGAGTTACGAGATTTCCTCAGTGAGGATCTCTGAGTTCCTGGCATGGAAGAACATCAAAGTGGAGGGAGCTCCAGCCAGACCAAGTCTTCCCCTCCACCGACCCCCATCAGCTTTCCACTCCTGCTCCCCCTACTCCCCTCCCGTGCACCCCTCCCCAGTCCATCAAGCCCAGAGTCATGCTGTTGGTACCTTGCCCTCCCTAACATCCTGGCCCCTGTTCAAGGGAGACCAAGGTGAAATCACATCCAATGCAAAAAGCTGAAAAAGTCTATGGAACAAGACAAAATCTAACTGCATTTTGACTTAGTGTGCAGAGCTCATTTGGCTCCTGGTTTCTTTCTTCCTCAGCTCTATCCAAGAACCTCATTAATATATTAATGAACATTTACTGTAAAGAGAGATTTATGGCTTTGGTGGCTTAGAGCTTGGGTCCTGGCAGCAACAAGATATGGCATCAGACTCCAGCATTGCCACTTGTCATTTGTGTTACCCTGGGCAAATTGCTTAACCTCTTAAAAGTCTAAGTTTCCTCATCTGTAAAATGGAACTAGTCCCTGCCTAATATGACTATGATGGGGTCTCAATGCAACGATCCTTTGAAGTGTTCAGCATGGTATCTGGCACATAGTAAGTGTTAATAAATGTTGACTATTATGAGTCCATATTCAAGGAGCTCATATAATGGGGAGAACAAACTTTCAAGGTATATTATAATATGGCAAATGTGGTTCCTACTATACTGGACGTGGGGGCAGGAGTATAAGGATCATAGTAGAGGTAACAACTCTCTGCCTGAGTAATCAGGACATACCCTCCTGAAAATAGCACTTAAGCAGTTTGCAAAAATTGTGGGAGGTCAACTATAGTCAAGATTATAGGATGTGCAGTGGCCCAGGAGCTCACAGGATGCGCACAGTCTGATGATGGAGGAAAGCGAACTCAGCATGACAAAAGAGGGTAGAACACTTGGAGGGAGTCCTGGGAGAGTAGGCTGGAGAGTCATCTTGGGGCCTGGCTGTGGAGAGTCCAGAGTATGTATACTCTGCTCAGAAATTTAGATCTTACTCCACAGGTAATGGGCTTCACCCAGGGATAAGTACTTGACAGCTACGTGAGACTGGGCACCTTACTTAGCCTCTCTGTATCTCAGTTTCATCATCTGTAAAATGCAGATAATAAATAATACTGGCCAGGCCGGGTGTGGTGGCTCACACCTGTAATCCTAGCACTCTGGGAGGCTGAGGTGGGAGGATCACTCAAGGTCAGGAGTTCAAGACCAGCCTGAGCAAGAGTGAGACCCCCATCTCTACTAAAAATAGAAAGAAATTAGCTGGACA